ATTGTTGGTAATAAGTTTTGGCATGGCGTCTTAAGCTCTTTGGAGAAATGTTGTTCTAGGTTACTAAGCAAGCAGCAAAGAGAGGAGATAATAAGGATGTTTCAAATTAAGGAAGGCTAGACACAGTTGAGATTGATTTTGAAATAATGGATAATAATATAAATATTCATATATCTTTTACACTATAAATCTTAAAAGTTCTATATTATAAATATATGTATATTAAATTACACTGTAAAATACATTTTTAACATATTGATGTTAAAATTGTATCTGCTGCTTTTACAGTCAAATGGTACTTTAGTCCCTTTCCTTTTAATTTTTCAGTGGCATCTTAGCCAAGTGTTACATATAATATAGGCATTGTATATTTTACAATGGTCAGTCTATACTCACTGAATAAGCTCTCACATTTTTTTCTAAACAAAAATGGTTAGAGGAAAAAAATGGTTAAGTAGGTTTACCTTTTAAATCAAATTTTGGTTTACTTTTTACATGAAGATTGGATTTAATATCTACTTCTGGTATATTAGTAGCAAAAAAAAGGAAAATTTACTTAAGATTCCACCATATTTATGGAAAAATATCAGAGGACAAATACATTCCATTTTGTGTCATTTTGTGTCATTGTCAAACATGTAGGCAAAAAAGCAAATGTAAAAATTATTCAGAGATTGATATTCCTCTTGCAAAAAGCGGTTCCTAGATTGTTTTGTTTTCCCCAAACAAATGCAGTGACAGAAATAGAAGCAAGTGTCACTGTGCCCTTGTACTTTATTATGCTGTCTCCCTTGGACTTTTTATTTTATTACTAGAAAGTCAGTTCATGAAGTCTGTTGTTTGTTTTCTAAAATGTATAAGCTTCATATATGGGTTTGTTTTATCTATTATTATTAAGATGATGATGTCAATTTTCAAAAATTTAAGAAACACACACTGTCAACGGTACTAGTATCCCCTAACAATGAAATATAGTCATACAAAAGTTAACTAAGGTATAAACATGCAAAAGGAGAAGTCTCCCTGCGATCATAAAATGATGTTATTTTCTGTTCAGCAGTTCATGTTACTGCTGTTCATGCTAATTAATTAAAGGAGCTGTTGCTGTAATGTGCAAACAGGGAATCTGAGAAACCGAGAGGGCTTTTAGGTCTCCAAGTGAAGTTAAGTCAATCTGGGCGCTGGCAATCAAATGTAATGAAATCACTTGTCAGTGCTAAGCTTGCAAAAACTGTGAAGTTTGACTAGGGAGTAAAAGGATTATAATTAGATTTCCAATAGGATAATAACTAAATGGCAGAATGCAGTAAAGAGAAAATATTACTTTGTTAGCTAATGGTACTGCTGTTCTGTTTGAGTTTTTATCAGTGCACTTGTAGTTGTGCTAATTTAATTTGCTTTTATCAGCAAAAATGTACTACGCAAATGGTACTTGAATGTCATTTGCAAAAATCATTGATCTGAAGGTGCACTTAATGACACCCGGTATGTTTATTTTATGTGAAATGGAGATTGGTTGATAAGATGGTTTATGTGCTGTCCTGCAGGCCCCAATCTGAGTTATGGGAATCTGGGTGGGAGGATATTAGTGTATATGCTCCACCGAATCTTTCACCTCCAGCAATAGTGGACACAGCCATCAGAGGAGTATGTACTCATTGTTTGATCACCTTAAAATATTCAGGAGGAGTTGCTAACATAGACTGCTAAAACATAGGGGACACAGAAATCCTTTTATCAGAAGGTAGTCTATGGATGATATATTGTATTGTCTATCAAATAACATTCAAAGCATAAAAGACATGAAATAACTAAACCTAATAGATTTTGAATACATGTAAGAATCCTAGTATATGGGCAGTTTGTCTGTACTAAAATCCATGTGGAAATTACCATAAACTGTGTATGACTTCATTTATTTTCAGGATGGCCAAACAACATTCTTCCAAATCTTCTTTAAACTCTCTTAAGGAAATGTCACAGTGGAACTAACTGAATTTCAAAAGAAGAGCACTGGGTAAATGAGATTTCTTTCCAGGAGAGCAATTGACAATAGGAAGAGAAAAGACTTCACTCTTGCTGGAATTGTTTGCTGTGATGGAGAGTTTTGGAAATTGTAATGAATTGGCATATATGAATTGACCCTCAAAAACAATGCTAGGAAATATTCTTCCAATTAAAAAAAATGGGTAATTGAGAGAAGTGGAGAAGATGAAGAGAGTATTAAAATAAGTCACAAAAGTAAAGAACTGTAATACACAAAATTATTAGGAATAATAGAAAAATAATGGTTAAGCTTGCATTTTATGTTTTCTAAGCATTGTACATTTTCTGAAGTCCATAGATACATATAAAAGTAATCTTTCAATTCTGAGCATCTTAAATAATAAGTGACATTATTGGGATTTTCAGGTAATTATTTGCATTGGTTGATTTGTTGAACTACATCTGTTAAGAGTTCTGATGCTCTTTTCAGGCACCAATTCTCCTGGCTAGTAGAATAAATCACTTTTTGCTCAAAAAAATTTTCTTTTCGATATTAAATTGTGATTCGGCTGTCATATTAACACAAGGCATTCGTTCTAGTTTTCCATAAACTGATGATCGGAACTTTATAACTTATGGTGCTTAAATTCTGTGCTAAGTGAGGTGAGAATATGTACTTTTCCATTTTTATCACACTTATCGTGAATATTATTTAATGTAACCTAAAAGGCAGATGTTCAAGAAGAAATTACTAATCCACTATATTTTTCCATATATTGACAATATTAACCACAAATAGTTGACAATTTAATTTGTAATTTGAAATAAAAATAAGTTAATTCCCTAGCTTTAAGATAAGCTCCATCTCAATCCTTTTAAAGGTATATCTAATTCTCTCATGTTTAGCCAGCAAAATCCAGTAGAACTTATTCAAATTATGCTCAGTAAAAACAAATATTAAATGTGTCCTCCCTTAATCACAAGTTAGTTAATATGCAACAACCATTTTTTGCAGGCTTCATTAAAATAAAAAATTTGTACCAAATGCAGAGTGAATCTACCTTTTGCTTATATCATCTAATTGACCTCCCATGAATTAGATATCTGTTGTTTGTTGCATGGAAATAAAGTAACTTTTGCACAGTTCAAAAGCTTGTATTGGGTTGTTGGGAAAGTCATGACACATTTTTGCAATGAAAAACATGGAAAAAGTACGTCATGACTTTTCTGACAACCCAATATTTATCTCAGAGTTGGGAAAGGTGTTACTACTGTGAACTAAAGGCATCATATAAATTAAACACACAGCAATGAGTATAGGGTGTATAGTATTAAAGCATAGTAGTGGTTACCAGAGGGTAAAGGGGGATGGGGGATAACAGAAAAAGGTAAAGGGGGTCAAATATATGGTGATGGAAGGAGAACTGACTCTGGGTGGTGAACACATAATGCAATATATAGATGATGTATTATAGAATTGTACACTTGAAACCTGTACAATTTTGTTAACCAATGTCACCCCAATAAATTTAATAATAAAAAAATAGATACAACCCTCTGGTAGTATGTTTGGTTTAACCCCTCCCGTTACAAAGCTGACCTTACATTCCACTCAATGAAGAGACACAATCAAGCTAAATGCTCCTTAAAGACCAGGTCTATATTTGTGTGTCACAGATTCTGAAGGGATGAATCCTTCAGGATTATTCAACCCTGCCTTGGCACTGATGTGTGTTGAGAACCTCAACTAGTGGCAGCCCACAAGTGGGGCTTTCTTCATAAATTCCACTGTGGTTAATTTATTGGACAAACGTGGAGTCCCATCCAAATTGGCTTTGCTCACACCTGTAGACACAGCCTTTAAGTGGAGGGGAGAAAGCAGGCAAGCAAAAGTGGGGTAAGAGACAGCAAAAGCTTTATTGAATGAGCTAAATGTGCATGTGCTCACAAGAGCAATGTACCTAGTTAATGCATTAGTTATGTCTAGCCAGCTAGAGCAGAACTAGACATTGCCAGAAGATCCATGAGCTCTGACACTCCTGGTTTCATACAGATGACATGCAAAACTACAGGAATGAGGGTTGCTAGATTTTGTGAAGCTGCCACATAAAATGGTGACTCTCAGATGAACTCAAATGGATCTTTTGGTCATATCCAGTGCTATTGTTTTCATCACACAGTGGAAAGACACTGATTACTTAAATCTCCAGCAAGTAACATATTTATGGTTGTCTTCCTTTTTGAAAGTTAGGAAATCATTTGTTCAAGGAGATGCCTTTTTTCTTATTAGAATGAGACATTTTTTTTCACAATAAATGTGAATATAAATGTGCATACAAAACTGCATTAGAATCACACTGGAAAATCTCCAGTGGTCAAAATTTTTCATGTGCTTTTATACTCCAATGAGACTCTGTATTGATTTGTTTTATCTATTTTCTTACTACTAAATATTTTAAAAAGATTTTAAATGACCTAAGCATTTATGGGAATCCTGCAAATCATGAAAAACAAGTCATGCTATTTTTTCCATATTTAGGTGATTTCTAAAGTTATCTAAATTTAGTACTGGAATTTAAAAGTTGATTAAAATGTTGTTAGAATATTTTAAAAATATTGATAGGTTATGATTATCATACCTGTGGCTTTTACAAATAGTAGTGAGATTTTTAAAAGCATATTATTGGGCACTTCTAAAACGCAAATTATATTCACATTTATGCATTTTTAGAATATGACTAACATATAAAAGTACATCCTTTTAACAGTTAAAAACATAAAAGAAATTTGCTCATGTTGTATGTGTAAAATTATCAGTCCATATATATATATATATATATATATATATATATATATTTCTTAAAAAACAGTGCAGACTTCTGTCAGAAAGTAAGAAGAGTTAAACCTATTTATTTTACTTATACGAAGAGTGTCAACACAGGAGCTCACCCCCACTTCACCCCCAGGGATCAGATATTAAGCAGTTACAGAGAGAAGTTTGCTCTTTACTGTACCTTGCATAGCAGTATTATCATGAGGAATCCCACTGTTTTCTATTTCAATATCTGGAATCCCAGTATCTGAAAAAAGTGACATTCAAGATTAAGGTACAATCCTGTTTTTTTCTGATTCTATTTAAAGTGAAAATTACCAGTAAGCCAGTACTTTGGTCCTGTAGATAACATGAATCTTGTGTGGTGTTTTATTTTTTTTTTATGTCTTTTTATTTTTTTATGTTACGAGGGAGGATTATAAACTGTAGGTGAATTCTACAATTGGGCATATATTTCCAGGTATATAGTAAATGCTTCTTTATTCATTTCATTCTCTAGAGATAAATCTCAGGAAAATAATCTGTCCATAAAAATCCCCACAGACTATCAGGTAACATGACTTGACTGTGAAATAAGAAAAAGATGGATGCAATAGCATAAATGTAAGTGCCCCATCCATATGGTGTATTTTCCATTTGTAAAATGTAATAGATGATGAGATTATCTCTATGCTAAGCACAGGGAAACACAAAAACACAGGGTATGGATTGTAGTTTTTATGTAGTATAGACTCTAAAGGCAAAGGGATACATAAACTGTTTTGAAAAAAAAAACTTAAGAAAAAGACACAAGGAGTTGGATGTTTTTCTATTTTAAATATGAAACGTGATTATCTAAAAGTTATACATATATATGAAGCACAGCTTAACATAGGCATTTCTGTATATATGCATTTGCTAAGACACCCTTGGGTAATGTGATAACAGATGCTAGTGTATCAACCAACACCATCAAGGATTAACGTGAGAAGGAAATGATTTGAATACAAGGTACCCGTCATGCTGTAGAAACAGCTGCTTTCCTTTATAGTAGAGAACATTGGAGCTAGAGTGGAGATCACTTATGTGTGGATTTCAAATATGTTTAAAAAAAGTCAAACTGCCTCAAATTACAAGTTCAGGGCCTTAAATAATAATACTGCACAGAACATTTGTCACATTGTTGGTCAGAAATGTGATTTTTAAGACCTTGAATAAGCAAGGATGCTGGCTCACACTGTCTAAGATGTCCCATTGTATGAAATATTAATGTGTTATTTTTTATCCTCTCTCTTCTTTGTCTCAATGAGGCATAGTTGTCAGGAGCTAATAATCTAGGACTGTATATATATTGATTGTGAACACAATGATCCAAGGTAGTCACAGTAAAAAGGGAATTGAAATTTTGGAAAGGAAAGAATATGGTTGCACATTTGTACAAAAGCCTTTATTCATTTTAGTATAGGAAACTGAAGCAACTCCCTTTTAGTTCATGTGTGTGTAATATACGAGTATGTGTATGTGGTATGTGTACATGTGTGTATACATTCTTCGGCTCATCCTTGTTATACACATGTATCAGTTAATACATGAGCTGTCAGTGTGCTGTGAAAGAAGAACCTGAATATTATGTGAGATTAAACAGTGCTGTAGGGTTTCACACTTAAAACTTGAATCAGAAAATTTTGTAATTAAGAGATTTCATGACCAAAGCACCTTTTCTCAAAGGAACTCCAGGGATTTACTTAGAACATTCTTTTCCAACCAGGTGCTCCTCAAATCCTCAATGTTGATGCAATCTGCATTAATGGGACCATCATCATTTAGTTCATCAAAATACAGTACACCAAACATTAGCATATTGGAACATGAATGGATCTGTAACCCTTACATTTTAGGTGCAGGGAGGTTATCAGTATTACTTTTTCTACTGCAAAAGTCAGCAGGATTTCCTGTTATTCCAAAACTGTTTGTATCTCCCAGAGTAAGGATTATTTTGACAGATTTAATTAATGACCTAAATCACTGGCCTCAAATTGATTTTTAATTATTTCTGCACAAAGCCTTTTCCTACCTTCCTTCCCCCTTTGCTTCCCTCCCTCCCTTTTAAATCAGGCTTCACTTTATGTACCTTGAGAGTCAAAGTCCAAATCAGACATTACCTTTCAACATCCTCAGGCCACTGTCATTAGTAGTGGTTTGCTTAAGTGCTTGCTCTACTTGCTCCCTGCGCTTTGATTCAAATTCAAATGCTTCTTGCAGTTTTCTCTTGGCTTTTTTCTCTTTCTTCAGGCGCTTTTGCATGGTAGCTAAAATGTGAAAAGGTAAAAGGTTTGCAAAGGTTTGGTCAATGAAAGAGGGATCCCAGTTTTGATGGATTATAAACCGTAGATATTGATACACAGAGATACATATATGTATCAGTGGACATCATTAGCTTCTTTTGGTTCCAATTTTCATTAGCTCAACCAAAGAGAGTTCAATATACAACCGACTTCTTTTGGCTTTCACCTTTCCAGTGTGTATGCTCTATAATACACACCCATTTGTATGGTGGTGGTAGTAGTGGTGAAAAATTGTTTTCTATATATTTTGACTAACGACTTGCATTTAATGATATCATTAAATAGTTTATAAATGTCTTAAGAATATATTCTTACTATATGATGTAAGAATATATTCTTACATCAAGACATTTCTATTCATATTTCAAAATGTAAAAACAAATTCAATATACGAGGTCTGACAATTAAGTTCGTGAACTGGTTGGAATGATGTTGTGAACTGTTTTTTGATATCAGAGAGGTTATTCATTATGAATTTGTACCAACTGGACAAACAGTTAACCAAGTTTACTATTTGGAAGTGCTGAAAAGGCTGCCTGAAAAAGTTAGTCAAAAACAACCTGAACTTTTTGCCAACAATTCATGGCTCTTGCATCACGACAATGCACCAGCTCACACGGCACTGTCTGTGAGGGAGTTTTAAGGCAGTAAACAAATAACTGTATTGGTGCACCCTCCCTACTCACCTGATCTGGCCTCCAATGAGTTTTTCCTTTACACAAAGGTAAAGGAAATATTGAAACGAAGACATTTTGATGACATTCAGGACATCAAGGGTAATGCGGCGACAGCTCTGATGGCCATTCCAGAAAGAGTTCCAAAATTGCTTGGAAGTGTGGACTAGGTGCTGGTGTCAGTGCATAGCTTCCCGAGGGGAGTATGTCAAAGGTGAGGGTAGTGATATTCAGCAATGAAGTATGTAGCACTTTTTCTAGGATGAGTTCTCAAACTTAATTGTCTGACCTCGTATCTACTGGGTTGCAAAACATGGTATGTCTTTTAAAAGTTATAGTCGAAAGTGTCTATTTCTCTGAGATGTTAAAAATTTTAAGGGTATCTATCTATCTATCTATCTATCTATCTATCTATCTATCTATCTATCTATCATCTACCTATCTATCCATACATCCATTTTTAAAGAGAATCTTTCAGCAATGGTTATGTTAAGCAACCAGTAAAAGCACAACATTTTTTTTTTGTAAGCAGAAAATATAATGAAGAGCTAAAGAAAAAATATTCCTCAGTTCTCAAGGCTTTCTATTGTGGACACTGAGAAGAAAGAATGATTTGATGTGAACCCCAGAAAGGAATTTATCTGCTGAGATAGACTCCATATGGTCAGCTAAAAACCCAAATTTTATGGAGCCTAGTAGCCATTTGCTGACAGGGACTCTTCACGCACTCAACACCAGGAAGAAATTCAGACTGAACTAGAGGCTTCTTGCACCATACAACAAAATCTTGGATTGCGAGTAACTTGTTTTGCGAGTGTTCCGCTAGACGAGCAAATATTTTTATTACGGTGGTGCAAAAGTAATTGCGGTTTGTGCCTTTACTTGTAATGACACAAACCGCATTTACTTTTGCACCAACCGAATATATTTTAACTGGGTAAACAAGTGATGTCTTGCAATACGACTAATTCATTTCCAGAACGAATTATGCTCGCAAACCAAAGTATTACTGTACCTTGCTTGTTTATACCACTTGAGTCAATCGCTGCAGGGAAACCCTGGTTTCCTCTTTCTACCAAGGGACTGAGACCTGTCCCGTCCAATCAGAACTGCACAATTTGAATGCCCCATGTACATAAAGTGGATCTAACTGAGAACTTGGGCAGATCTGTTCAGTATAAATTGTGCCTCCCCCTTTGTCTCAGTGGAACACAACTTAAGTTGCTAGTACCTGAATCTGTGTCTCCTGGGATGAGGCTCCTTTTGCTCAAATAAATGTTTTTTTTTTTATTCTTTATTACAGTCTAAAATTACTATCGGTTTCCAATACCTTAATTAGAAACTTCAACTGCCTAATGTATGATTGTTTCTAAACTTTGAAACCTTGAAATCTGTGATAATTTCTCATATAGAAGTATTGGGTTCCAGCAATATATTGGTTCATAACAAGGTTCTAAGCAGACCAACTTTTACATTCTCCTTAAATCAGTTTTAAAAAATTAAGGTATTGACATTATCACAATAGAAAAACTTTCAAGGAACATTAGTGACTGGTATGTACAAAATAGTGCCAGTTGGGTACTAGACTAATTAGGGGGATCACAACCTAAATTATATAAATGTCTAACTATGCTGTACACCTGAAACTAATAAAATATTGAATTTTCAGTTACAGTCAACTATAACTGAAAAATAAATAAATAAATAAATAATTTTAAAAATGTCACCACCCAAAAAATAAATTATATGACATTTTAAATGTTAAAAGTATTCACATAAAATTAATATACTTTGATTGAACAGAATATGATGCTAATTTGAGTTTGAACTCTATTTATCTCACAGTTCAATGTCTTTTTCATGTCAATGACCTTCAGCAACTTGAAGAGAGAGAGGCAGATAACCAGGCAAATTTATGTTCATTTGAGACAAAAATTCAGAGGTATATCTAAGGTAATACAAAATGGAAATCTTGGAACAAAGACACTGAGAATGTATGGTTTCTGTTATTTCTGATGAAAGTGTTTATATTCAACCTTCTATAATTAAGGTTGAATATAAAAATATTTTATTATTGTAATTATACTTAATTATCACCCTCAAATAAAGCACTTAACACACAATTTAAATCATAAATCGAAATTCATTCAAATTAATGTATAACTTAATGACCTTATAAGACAAAATTTTGCTTCCAGTAAAATTATTGGTTCAAAAATATTCTATATATTGATTCCCTTGAAATGTATGATTCCATATACTGTAAACAATTTCATAGCATATTACATGCAAAATTATATAAATAAATAAATATCATTTATTTTAGGACCTACTATGTACTGAGCATTTTTCTGGGTCTAAATCTCACTTAAGCCTTACAATGAGTCAGCAAAGAAAATACTATTATCTACATTTTAAAGATGAGAAAACTGAGCTCTTGAGAGGTCAAGTAATTTATGGAAGATTACACAGCTAGTAATTTTCTTAATCTGAGGGCCAAAGACCACATAGGTAGTTGTTTCAAAGCCTGGGGACCATACAGTTGGTCAAGGACCAAGACAAGTGACCTCCAAGTTCTTTTGTACTCGTAGCTCTATCATTCTAAGTATTTAATCTACAAATAATAGTATTATGTATGTATATTTGTGTTTAATTCAAATAAAACATTCTGGTTAGAAACAAAAAGACAGTTTGGGGGAGTATGTACTTTGAGTGTGAAACAGTGCTTCCTTTAATTGGAGAAAAAGAGATAGTCATAGGAATTCTTAATATATATTTACAGTTTTATACAGGTTCTTTACATAAGTATATAATATATTGTTACTATTGTTTCTATATACTTGGAAATATGTTACTTTATACCATAATATCAATTTTCCCCCTTTTTCTTTCTAATTATATGACTTCAGGTAAAGAGTTCACCCTTTGTCATAAAAGATTGGGTGTACTGGATATTAGATATTTAGGAAACTAGAAAGGAATTTAAGTGAGCTTTCAGTTCAACTATCATAATAGATGATGATGCTGAGATTCATAGAGATGAAGTAGTTTCTCTAAATCAATGATAACAGTTTCCTACAATTATGTTAATCATTAGATGTAAAATGTTAAAAACAGTGCATAGCATGTAGCAAACAGTTGACATGCATTAGCTAGTAGTAGTAGCAGCAGCAGCAGTAGAAGTACTAGTAGCAGTAGTGATAATAAGGATAGTAGTAGTAGTGGTATTATTATTATATCTTAATGCTAAATATATTAAATATAAATATTTTAGAGTAAATTTAATAATATATACAATATTATATCAACTGTATCTAGAACTTTTTAAAAGACAAAAGATGTGATAGCAATTATAAAGATAGACCTTGAGAGTCTATGAGAAGTTAATAAACAAAAATCAGTATGAGTAGATCCCTAAAAGTAAGAAGCCAACTTTATGTAGCAGATTTTCATAAGTCAATTTGAGAATGTTATATTTACCAAATGATTAGTTGGTTCTTTAGTATAAAAATGTTCCCTATGAAAGAAATGTGTTTTTATGATGCTAATCATAATTACCTATTTCTTTTCTTAAATATAGGTGTATTTTTCATCTCCACACATACTTCCATCATACCACTTCTGCCGCTGCCCTCCCAACTGCAAACCAAGTGTATATTAGGCAGAGCAAAGCACATGTAGGGGGCCCCTCCTTTTCACCAAAGCTGGGGGTAGGGCCCACCTCTGGGATGGAAGAGACTTGAGGTAAAAATGGAGGGTCTAGAATCCAGTGGGCGTAGTCTAGACCAGGGGAAGGGTTCTCTTATCTATCTTGAATACCAAAAACCAGAAATAAACTAATTTCTCCAAACTTTAAAAAGAAAATTTAGCCTTTGCTTAGTAGTATTCATTGGCTTTGGCAAGATAAGAAGAGATTTAATTCTTTTTAAATGCAATGACCAATTTTCCATTTTGAACTGGACCAATGATTCCCAGGTCCTACAAAAAATATATGGGCACTTGTCTTATTAGGGAGACCACTTCATGGACGGTGTAGATGCCTGACCGCTGTGCTGTACACCTGAAGCTGAAGCTGAATAATATATATATATATATATATATATATATATATATACACACACACACACACACACATATGGTCACAGGATGTGGAGTACCACATAGGGAATAGAGTCAATGGAATTGTAACACCTATATACAATGTCAGAGGGGTAATAGATTGGGGGAAGAGGGTTATCACTTGGTGAGGGGTGTAAATGTCTAACTATTACATTTTTTTGTACACCTGAAACTAATAAAAATATACAGTAAATTTTAATTTACTACACACAAATTTCAGAATATAATATGCTATAATACTTTGGAATACTATAAAGTTAGTGGGTTTAACTCAACTATAGTCATTCTTCCTTGTTTAGGGAGGCATTACCTCGGTTGTGGATTTTCTCTCCTTTCTTTGCCTCTCCTTCCCACTCTAACTCCTTTACTTAATTTTTGCTTTGTAATCCATCCTTACAAGACTAAGCAGTGCAGTGAAAACAGCTGAAACTCAAAATAGTCACTTTGGCTGCTGTTTAGTATTTTATGGTAAATATAAGAAACAGGTGGAAATTATTGGCTAAAGTGAAGGTTTTAACTTTCTCTGATTTTGATATAAACTGGTCTCATTATCCATATCTGTAGATAATCTAATGTCTACCCATAGTTGGGAAGTTCATTCTATTTGTGAACAATATTTCTCCATTCTCTCTCTTTTGTTTCCATCCCTACCTATGCTAACATAATTCAGTTCTTATCACCATTGCCTGGATGAGAGCAATCACCTACACAGTTTCCTTGTTCCTAGTCTTACTCCAAGCCCCCTCTAACCTATTCACAACACTGGAGTGCTCTATCCAACTGAAATCAGACCAGATCATCCCCTGATTATCTTTTAATACTTCCCATAAACTGCAGGACACAGTCCAAGCTTACCTTATACATGGCTAAAAATATCCTTCATAATTTAGCTTCTATCTCCGTCTTTCTGCATCATCTCCTACCATTTGCTTCCTAAAACTCATATCCACTCTAATAACATACTGTATATAGTTGCCCACGAATGAGGCTTCTTGCTTCTATGCTTATGCTCACTGATGTCTCTGTCAAGAATGTCCAAATAACTCAGGTAGTCTTATGACCTTTCTTAACCTACTGAATCTTCAAGGTTCTGGGTCAGTGTCATGATCAGGAAGCCTTCCTCAACCACCCATGCACTCATCCTCACCAAGGTGAACTAGCTACTCCCTTTCTGTGTAACAATATATACTGTGCATCATCGCTCCTGCTACTTTGTCTTGAAATTAACTGGCTGGTTGTGCTAGCCCTTTAAAATGTAAATCTCTTAAGGGCAGGGACTGAGTTTTATTAATATTTATCTTATCACCCCAGAATCTAGCACTGTTCTTGGCAAACAGTAAGCATTTCATACATAAGGATTTGTTAGATTATCTATATCCAGATGTACTTTGTGTAGCTGTGAGAATGCTAAAAATATTCATGTTTCCAAATCTGCAACTGGAATGAAGTGCAGATCTAATTCATTATTTTTATTATGATAATTAGTATAAATATCTTACCTGTGGGTTACACACAGTATTCGATTCTTAGCTTGCCATTTGTTCTCAGCATTTCCAAGCTACTCCTGAGAGTATTTCTATTACTATTAAAAATATCACCAACACAACATTCACTCCATAACTGAACTTGTTAAACTTACTTCTGCTTTGAAGCTCAATTGCAAGTTGTCTTTCAAGGTTTTCTCTAATTTCTCTCTCTCTATAGAGTTCCATTCGCAGTTCCTTTTTTTCTTGTTGAATCTGCTTCTCCTGGATGCGAGCATTATCCAAAGCCACTTTCAGTAAACCCTGTCAAAGTACAGCAAATGGCATGCAGTTCATCTTATCTGTTTTAGTTTTCAAATATGACATAATTTATGTAGGTGCTAATGTCTTGTATTACATTTATTTTGTTTATAGAAATATTGTTGACCTGAATGTTGGTCAACAGAGTTTCCACGGAGGACAGACTATCAGCAAAAATGAATGGTCCAGGGAATCCAGGAGGCAATGCCTGCGCAGGAGTCAGTTGGATCTTGTCCAATGGTGACTTCATCATTGGGATTTGAACTGGTACCTCTTCTGCAAAAAACAAAGTTAACATCAGCAGGTTCACAAATTGACAGTTCAAAATTTTCAGTATGTTTCTTTCACCTCTAATCTATAAATACTTGTTTCTAAAACTAAATGATGAAAATTCTAATTGGAAGTCATATCTATTCTCAAGCTGCTTATAATTTCTCAAAATAAAAGTCTCAGTAAGGAATCAGTGATGAAAGGAGACTAAACTTTGGGTGGTGAGCACACAATTCAATACACATATGATGTATTATAGAACTGTCCACTTGAAACTTATATAATCTTATTAACCAATGTTACCCCCAATAAATTGAATTTAAGAAGAATCAGAGAAAATAAAGCAACATTTACTGCTAAAGAGGCATGAAATTTGGAGAAACAAATTTAAGATACTATATTTATGAATACCTATAAATTAAATAATTATATAACTTCCTGGTAGATCATAAACTGCTTTTTTTCTCTTTAAATTTCTGTATCTATACCTATCTCTCTCGATACTTCATAATAATTTTATTGGCACATAATTTAAATATAATAAATTCACCTATTTTAAATGTATCCTTCAATGATTTTTAGCAAATTTACAGAGCTGTGCAACCATCACCACAAATCTATTTTAGAACATCTCAATAACCGCAAGATACCTGTTATGCTCATTTACGGTTAATCTTCTTTTCCAACCCTGACTTCTAGCAACCATTAATCTACTTTCTGCCTCTATATGATCGCCTTTTGTGGATATTTTAAATAAATAGAATTATACAATGTATGGTCTTTTGTGAATGGCTTCTTATACTTGGCAAAAACTTTTTGAGGTTCATCCATATTGTGACATGTATCAGCAGTTTCTTCTTTGTTGCTGAAAAAGTATTCCATTGCATGGATATATTCCTTTTCATTTCATCATTCACTAGCTGATGGGCATTTGGATTGATTCTAGTGTTACATTTTAAATGATGTTCCTAATGGAAAAATATCACTTGTGTTGTAAAAACACAAGTTGTATCTTTTTCTCCTTTTATTTTTATATTATAGTCTCTTACATTCTCTTTAATGGGATTCTCTCTTAGCTTCAGATAAACAGACACAAACAGAATTTTTGTCTAGTAAGATGCTTCACGTTTCTTTTGGACAGATATATCTAATTACAAAAGGACTCTCCTCTTAACTTTGAGAAGCTAACAACTTGGCAATTTACTTGAATTCTGGTTGAAAATCTTTTATTTGAGATGTATTATGAACCAGATAGCAAAGTTTCCCCTGCAATTAGGAATTGGGGCATTTTTGACATATGTAAAAACAAACTGCTACTAAGAGGTACTCTTGGAATGTAGCCAAACCCTGGTATTCTTAAATGGCTTCAATAGCACTGCATCATGGGGTGAATCAGAGTAGCGCCAACAAAATTACTCTACTCACCACAGTCTCTTTATTTTAGTAAGCGGCCACAAAGAAAGTTTGAAAAATATGATTCTCTCTGGTCAGAAAAATTTTTAGTGACTCCATATGTTATGAGACTAAGTCAAGAAAAACAAAACAGAACCAAACAAAACAAACAAAAACACTAGGCTTGATTCAAGACCTAAAAAGTTTTCACATGGTTTGGAAACAAAAATCTCGCTATTGGGTATGGTTCCTGCAGGGATAGGAATATGGATCTGTCATACAGTTAGACCTCATTTTTCAATTGAAAGCATCCTATATTTGAGGTCGGACAATTAGGATATTAAACCCATCCTAGAAAAAGTGCTGTATACCTCATTACTGAATATTACTATGGTCACCTTAGAAGTAATCCCCTTGGGAAGCTATGCACCGATGCCAGCACCTAGTCCACCCTTCAAAGCAATTTTGGAACTCTTTTTCTGGAATGGCCATCAGAGCTGTCATATTACCCTTGATGTCCTGAATGTCATCAAAATGTCTTCCTTTCAATTCCCTTACCTTTGGGTAAAGAAAGAAGTCACTGGGGACCAGATCAGGTGAGTAGGGAGGGTGTTCCAATACAGTTATTTGTTTACTGGCTAAAAACTACCTCACAGACAGTGCCTTGTGAGCTGGTGCATTGTTTTGATGCAAGAGCCATGAATTGTTGCAGAAAAGTTCAGGTCATCTAACTATTTCACACAGCCTTTTTAGCACTTCCAAATACAATAAGTCTCTGACTTATAAATGATTTCTATTCCGGGAGAACGTTGTCCGTAAGTCGGATTCAATCATAAGTCTGACAAAGAGAGTCTTTGCGCTTCTTAGCAGTCCCCACCACATCACCACTGCTTTTCCTCTTACTTCCAGACATCCTAGGCTCTGATTGGACACTGTACTAGTGTACACTATTGCACTGTACATAAGCACACAGCACCACATCTCTGACAATGTCTGGCAGACATGTAAACTACTTCTGCGATTTGTTTTCATTTTCAATGTTCGTAATGCGAGGTCTGTTCATATCTGTGAAAGTTCGCAACTTAAATGTTCGTAGGTCGGGGACTTACTGTAGCAAACTTGGTTAACTGTTTGTCCAGTCGATATAAATTCATAATCCCTCTGATATCAAAAAAGGTTAGCAACATTGCTGCAACAAGTTTGTGAACTTAATTGTCAGACCTCATATGTAGCGCGCAGTGACTTGAACTCCACTGATTTCATGGTCCTCATGGTTTTCTGTGGGATTTCTTGTGTTGGAAGTTGTGGCATAGAATTGTGGGACCCTTCTGTGAGATGGAATAGCATTATCTCTAAATAAGATGTTGTTAGTATAGATCACCTTTACAATTTTTTATTTTCCAAGGCCTCTAAGGATAAAAAATGCTAAACAATTATTTTTAGAGATTAAAAATTATTTTCACTGATTATTTTCACTAAATCTTTACATTATTTGAATCCAAAATGTTATAAAGAATATTTGTTTAGTCTGAAATAATTCAATAAAATACATAAACTAGCCTGTTAATTTTCTTGTAGTACAGGAAGCTATCTATAATGAACATATTCTCAGGAATGTTCTTTTAGTAAAACTTAAAAATATCTTCATCATGTGTTTCCTACAAATCTCTTGTAAAATTAACCCTAACCTCTTACAGAACATTTCTCCCTCTCTCCTTCTCTCTTCTCTCTCTCCCTTTTCTTTCTTGTCAGTGGCAGTTTTGGAGGAGGTGAAGTATTCCAGAGGAAATGAGCACATTACTTTAAGTTCTGTTATCTACATGAACTAGAAGTTTTGAACATTTGAAATATTACATTCAAAAAATACATTCTAAAGTATGTGTTTGGCAACAGCTCTAACATTTCTAGAGTGCATTTTTCAACAACTAACCAAACAATATTATGTTTTATTTTTATTGTATGAAGTCTGCATTTAGCTAGTATTTTGTCTTCTGCACATGGGTGTATTAAGTGGGTAGAATGAATTTATAATGATCTATCAATATTAATAATAACTGAGGAGGTTCTACTCCTTTTAATTGATGTTTACAAATCTTAAAAGTAAAAACTTATGTAGCCTAGAAGATATAGTTTTATAAAAATGAATGGCTACAAAGTTAGAACATTGACTTCCTGCTGATTCATTGATAATGTAATGTTTCCCCTGAATAAATATTTTGTATCAGGGGAAGAGCTCTTAAAATTAATGGATTCCTTGTTTTGTATCACTCTGTACACACATGTAACCTCAGTGGTAAGAGTCTGAGGGGTATTCTACAAACAAGGTACCTATAAAAAGAAAGCAATACATTCAGTATGCATAAAACAAAATTATAACTACATTAAAATTGTCAGAAGTTTTCTATTTGGAGATGAAAGAAACGCTATTAAATTGGCTGCAAGGAAAATTACTATTGACTATGAAGACAGGTTGCATGGTCTATGGTTTGTAATGTTGCTGTACAGTAGATTGAACTTTCAAAATAGTATTACTCTTCTTTAAAGAGATAGACACAGCTGAATTAGGTGCTGCTTGCTGCAGTGAGGATCAAATGCAAAAAGAATCATATTTCATCAGACCTAGTCAACACCAGGAAAATAAATAGAAATATAAGAGGTATGCAGGCAATGATTCATTTTGATAATCTGGCCCAAGAGAGACACATAGAGACAGCACACAGATCTAAGCTTCTACTAAAAGACAAATAGGACACACAGGGTGGGAATTGGGATGACAGTGTAGCAGAGGTCACATCGATTTTCAACAGCAGTTTTCACACAGATGAGATAACCCTGGACTCTATTTGGCCCATTGTTCATATCCTACCTGTCCCACAAGCAATAAATTTCCTAGTCCTAGAAAAGGGCAGTAAAGAAGAAGGATTCTACTTATGACTTCTTATGATTAAGTTTCTGTGCTAACCAAACTTGCTTTTTCAGACCAAGGTCACATTGCATGTTAAGGTCCATAATAGCCCCAAACTAGTTGAAGTGTATTATGTTTTGGTGTATGTGAGTGTAAACTGTCAAACCATTTGTCATTTTTTAAAAATTTAACAACCCCCCAATTACCCAATAAAAATCTTTAAAAAAAAATTTAAATCACATTCTTCAAAAATGAATGATAAATGCATTAGAAATCTATTCCAATCTTGTAATAGGTCTTCACATCTGAATGACATCTACATTTTGCTCAGAGTTTAAATAAATGCACTTTTATGGTAGAATTTATTAGGTAGGCTTGAGAAATTTTAATTGGCAATGAAATTGAATATAGGCAAGTACTAGACTAGAAACATAGCTTGTCAGTAGAAGAAGAGCACTTCTTTGTAAACCAGGGAGAAAGCATTTTGATTTAAAAAGCTCATGCTTGAAATGTATATATTAAAATCCTTACCAACACATATGACACAATGGCATAAAGTAAAAGATAAAGATAGGGCAGCTGCTATCTAGCTGAGGACATGCAACCACTTCATTTATTGTAGCAAAGCGGAGACTGCTTTTATTGAGCCTGTTTGTTAAACCTACCATACTTTGTAATAGCACTTGGGAATCCATTTAGAAAATAAGTT